TTTAAAACCTTCTGTCACAATATGCTTTTATAGCCACTGCAAGAAGAGCTGACCAGTTTGATCCTTAATTCATTAGTTTGTGGCATTTTAATGTTTACATTTACCCTCCTGCTTTGTTCGTTTCTGAGGTACAGCAATAATGTTTGTGGATCAATTTTTTTCAGTGGGTGATCTTTATAATTGAACTTGAGACACGTATACTTCACTTAGTCAAACTGACTCGTTGATTAAAATCAAGACAAATGAGTGATGCAGAGTATTTATGTTTCCCCCCACTGCCTCTGAGTGTCAGTGTGGGTGGAGTTTGCCCACAGGAACAGAAAAGGTTCCCGTCAAAAGTTGCATGAACACCTGCTTTCTAGCAGTTTCCTAGTGAAGTAAAGAGAATAGTGAGAAAGTGTGCATGCATGTGTATAGTGTGTGGTGAAATACATCTCATAGCTGCAAAGAAACGTATAGAATAGGACATTTTTTTAATCTTATTTTACCCTTCAACTTGACTGTCAGGTCAAATTGACCTGAACAGTATCTATGTAACATGTAGAACCGGGGGGATGTGTAAAAAGAAACATTTTCAATTTATATGTAGAGTGAATCTATTAAGACAAAAGAGACAAAGTTTCATGCAAACAAAAAAAAACAATACTACCGACTATTTTAAAAAAATATGTAAAAATTAAACCAGGTCAATTTGACCGGCAACATAACAGGAGGGTTAAGCTCTTTCTGAAAATATATTAAGATATACTCCAAATATTTATTATTTTATTAATGTAAGGCCAGAAAGTATCAGTTAACTTTAAGAAATATTGACTCAGGGTGTTGCAGATATAGACGTCATAGTTCTTTTGCTTGGAACAATTGAACAGTTTTGGAGCACATTCAAGCAAATCTTTATTTTGTACAATGAATGTGATTTAAATCTAATTTAACTTCCAGATTCTCCTTGGAGTCCCAGCATTAATGTTCCCTCTGACCTGAAGGAGCATCAGTCTGTCACTGTAACCTGCTCAGCTTTCACTCCCTGTCCACACTCACCTCCTGAACTCACCTGGAATCTCCAACAAGACTCTCTCAGACAAACAGAGAAAAACACAGATGGAACCTTTACAACTAAAATCCAGGAGAACATCACTCTGTCAGACACACATGATGGATACAACATCAGATGTTCTGCCAGATATCCTGTGATTGGAGGAAACAAGACAGCAGAGACAGAAGTGACTCTCAGTGTTTCATGTAAGTGATCCTGTCAGCAGGTCATGGTTCAGCTGTTTGTGATCAATAAAGTTCATGTGTCTCATTTTCCTCAGATGCTCCTAGAAACACCTCAGCATCCATCAGTCCATCAGGTTTGGTGTCAGCAGGTAGCTGGGTGGAGCTGAGCTGCTCCAGCAGAGCCAAACCTCCACCCAGATTCACCTGGTTCAGGAACAGCAGAGATGGAGACATGAATGTGTCTGTTGGCCAGATTTTCAGCTTCAATGTTACTGAGGGAGGAGAGTTTCACTGTGTGGCTACAAATCATCTGGGTAATGATTCATCATCAAGGATCTGTGTCACTACTGAAGGTAACGGTTAGCTTCTTTATCTTTGGTCCTTTCTTATTCTTTTGAAACACATTTGTGTTTTATGACCATGTAAGAAACTCTCTTGAAACAAACACACAACAATCCATTCAGAGTTTGTTGCAGTTTAGATTAATATACTTAGAGCTGACATAGGTAACGTGCCATGAGAAAATCTGGAACATATTGCCAGTACAAAAATGGAGAAAGAGAAAATAAAAACTACCAATTTCTGAGCATAGAGGGATTTTTAATTTTTCATTAAAGTAGTTAAAGTCATTAAGAAATCACTCCATGCATTCAAAGGCACTTTCAGAGGCTATGGGGGAACTCTCCACTCATGTTTCTAGGAACATCTGAAGAAAATGAGACACACATGAACTTTATTAACATACCCAGCTGTGTTTGACTATTCACATGCTTTTGGTTGTAGTTTTGGTCATTAAGCTGGATGTCTGAAAGAAATACATGGCTAATTAACAAAGCCGCCACATTTCAAGAAGACAGAGACAGCAGAGAGGACTCAAATTTGACTGCACCCATGCAGTCTACAGATCTTGATAAAATCCTTGTACAAGTTGCCAGATCTGAGGATTCTGATGCATCAGCACCAGCTGTGCTCCAGGAGGAGATTGTAAGCCTGTCTTACACCTGCAAAAATAAAAATAAATAAATAAACGTTATCGCAGTTATCTGGTTTGGGCCAAATCAGAGTAAAATGATCTGCCTTGGTAACAGGCCATTGGAAAAACAGAGACAAAACTTTAAGTAGATGGTTGATCCCAAAATAAGCCCAACATTATTGAAGCTTTTTCTGCTTCCTACATCACCCTTTGATTAAGTATGGTAACTTCTTTTATTTTTTTTATCGTTTGTTTAACATCTTCCAGCTTTATTTTATCGCTTGTTGTAAAAGAAAAAAAAAATCTGGCTATTTTTTCTTTTTACCACCACCCCTCAATCAGTTTTCCTGATTATTTCATATGATGTTTTGACTTTGTTAAATGTTTATCTGATGTGAAACTCCAGATTCTCCTTGGAGTCCCAGCATTAATGTTCCCTCTGACCTGAAGGAGCATCAGTCTGTCACTGTAACCTGCTCAGCTTTCACTCCCTGTCCACACTCACCTCCTGAACTCACCTGGAATCTCCAACAAGACTCTCTCAGACAAACAGAGAAAAACACAGATGGAACCTTTACAACTAAAATCCAGGAGAACATCACTCTGTCAGACACACATGATGGATACAACATCAGCTGTTCTGCCAGATATCCTGTGATTGGAGGAAACAAGACAGCAGAGACAGAAGTGACTCTCAGTGTTTCATGTAAGTGATCCTGTCAGCAGGTCATGGTTCAGCTGTTTGTGATCAATAAAGTTCATGTGTGCCTCATTATTCCCAGATGCTCCTAAACACACCTCAGCATCCATCAGACCATCAGTAGGTAGCAGGGTGGAGCTGAGCTGCTCCAGCAGAGCCAAACCTCCTGTCAACGGCTTCACCTGGTTTAAGAACAGTTCAGAAGGAGCCATTAAGTTATCTGTGGGCCAGGTTCATAGTTTCAATGCCATTGAGGGAGGTGAATATTATTGTATGGCCATGAATGATCTGGGAAATCAAACATCTCCAGTGATCCATGTTTCTGTCATTGGTAAGTTGGTAACTGTATTGTATCTTCTGTTCTCAAACATATAAATGATCTCTCTAAACTCAGAACATTTTGTTTGTTTCATGAAGGTTTGCCGATTAACCCTCTTTACTGGGGAATCATTCCAGCAGGATGTATAGTGTTCATCTGTCTGTTTGCTGGTTTTTGGTGAGTATCAGAAATTCAATTTGTGAGAAGCTAAATCTAGGTTACCCTACGCAGGTACAGTTCTTCACACTGCAGTGGAATTTTGCACCAACCAAGAGATATGAAGGCTGAAAGAAGATCTTTTCCATTTGTTCCATGAAGGGTGCTTGAAACTGCAAACCAAATCTAATTTTTGAGATCGTTACACGCCCTCTCCAGTAATTAAATAATTTACACTTAAACATAATTTTTAAACTTTTGTAGGTAAGAATTAACGGTATAAAAATACTTTGGGGAGTCTAAACATGAGGAAACAAAGAAGACCCTTCCAAACTGGAAGTCTTTATTTTGTTTTTCCGAGTAAATGTGTTGTTCGTTTTGCTTTACTGCCGTTGTGAATAGCGCTGTGTGTACAGGGATCAAGATTGCAAAATTCACAGTGTTCCACCATTTCAGGACAGAGTGCATTATTTTCTGCCGTAACACTTTTATTATTGACTTATTATTCAGAATTACAGATTAACCAACAGTGAATCCAACCCTGAATTATGTTTCAGGGCTGGTTGAGTGTCTCCAATATTTTGGATAACTATTTCTAATTCAGAGAATAAGCCATGACATTGGTCTCAGATTACAGTGGTGGTACACATGTACAGCATATGTAGTGCCTGTCTGCAATCATGCAGTGGATTATTTATTTTTTATTTTTTTAACTTGTCCAAAAAATGTAGGGTAGGCGAGTTTATCTGGAGATCAACTTGTATATTGTACTGTTGTATCAAAGCCATAGAAAAATGACTTGTAAACTTATTTCCTACGTCATTGAAATAATAGTCAGTTATTCAATGACAGGAACAGGGCACTGAGGCAAGAGGAAGATGTTGCATATCAGAGTTCTCGTTACTGAAATGTCGGCACTTAAACCACAGTGGATCTTTGCTGGCAGCCCCTTCTCAAGATAATGTGCTGCTCTTGATTTGTATTTACATTTTATGGTTGAGTCAGTGTTACTGAAACAGTTTTACCTGTCTATGAGACACTGCATGATTCTGGTTGAAAAAGTCCCTGACTTCATATCTGAATTTTAACATTTTTATTTTATGCCCCTGCTTTGCAATATTCTTTCATTTGCTTTTATATCCTGTACAGTAATTTTGATTGTCTTGAGTATGTAAGATGCTATACAAATAATCTTGCATCTATGTCTGCCAGGTACTTTAACTCCAAATACCGAGCTCCCAAACAGACTCAGGTGAGTTAATGCAACAGTTGTGTCTACAAAACCGCAATCAGTTTTTACTTGTACATTTTATTCATTTATTTTTTTTTACCACTTCCTTATAAACATTGTTTGTTTTTCAGAGTCAAATCAGCGATGTCCAAATGTCAGCCACTAAACCAGAGGAACAGCTGCATTATGGAGAAATAACGTTTAGCAGAAAGACGCCTGAAACTTCCTCCAGATTGGTGCAGCACAACGAACAGACTGTGTACGCGGAGGTGAAATTGTCACAGCGAGAAAGCAGCTCTAAGCAGACTCCTGGGAACCCCGAGGATGTTTGCTGCGAAGAAAAAAAAGAATAACCTCTGTTGTGTGACGGCAGACATCTAAAGTTTTGTCTGTGTAAGGGGAAAGGCTATGATAAAGATGGAGAGTCTGCACCTCAAGACCTTGTCACCCTCCAATGCGCGTGCTTCTGTCAGTTATTAGGGATGAACAACATGGCTACCAAGAAAAAGTTGTTCATCGCTTAAAGATGAACATACGTACGGAAACACAACTTTTAATTTGTTCAGTTTATAGTTAGCTGGTGCTACATGTAATAATGTGGTGCTCTTCCATCACAGATGCTTCTGCTGATGCCTGGAGCGGCCATGTTGATTTGTGAATTTACAGTTACAAGTTGCATCCCTCTGTCCCAGTGTGAAGTCCGACTTCGGGGGTCATTCAAGTTGATTTTTCCAAACGGGAAGTCAGAACGTCCGAGTTCCAACTGCAAATGGAGCGCACCAAATTCCTCAGCTTTAACATTTGTGGAAAAATAGAACAGTTTTTAGACTGTAAGCCATGGATCATAAAAATTTCAGAACCATATCATTGCTGGTACTTCCTAATATGTAAAACATGCAGACTATTAGAGTTTGTACTTTCATTTTGTTTTCTTACTTTATTTTTTATTTTTTTCACTTGGACCGTAACAATATAACAAAATGTATTATGTGACTGATAGATTGTAGGTGAGTTGGCGTGTCAGGCGATGGCTAGACTTCCCATTTCTGCAGTGACTAGTGATTATTCACAATTTGGAGTCAAATTGTGCTACTGTAAAAGACAATGCATTAGTTCTCTGCAATATAAACAAGCTATTATGTGGACAATGTTGCTAATATTTTTTGTTGTACCAGGAAGGGTTGCCTTCCCTTTTCTGAGGTTCAGTGAAAGGCAGATGATTTTAAAACTCAGTAAACGCACAAATTAGGAAGTAAAGTTGTTGTTTTGTTTTTGTTTTGTTTCTGAATCTCAGAAAATGATTGTTTTCTATACAGTCACCTGCTGCCAGTAAAATAAAGAGCACATTTTTTCAGGAATCGAAATGTATAAATAAATAGACCCCACATGTTTCAGCAAATTTTCCCTTCATCACAGAAGTGACGACGCTTGTAAAATAACATGCTTAATAACATGCTCTAGCATTTACTGGGCAAATATGCCAATGTGTGTTTTTTAATCAAAGCTGGTTGGAAAATATAACTTCTGTAATCTTTAAAAAAAAATGTTTGCCTCATAAATAAGCTGTGAGAATTATTCTTCAATTGTTCTTTTTAACTTTTCCTTGACTTACGGGACATGTTAAATGCCTATTTGATCAAATAAATACTCTGCACTTTACAGTTCGTTAAAAAAATATGCAAGCATCTGTCAGAATTAGGTGATTATTATTGCTTCTCTGCAAATTCTGACCAATAAAAAAAGTAGCTAATATACTTTCTTGTAACATCTTTTCTTTCTGTCTTGTTGATGCACATTTATCACACCTGGCACTTTTCTCCACCCTTTCCAAACTGGTTAGACCACCGACCCCTAAGCATTTAATCATCCTGCAGAAAAGTGTGACTATTTCTGTGAACATAATTACTGGTCCTTAAAATTTGTCCTTAAAGTTGATGTGTTAGAAGGAAGAATAACAGAAAAGCATACGACTCTCAGCAGGCTTGACATGGAATGCATTGCGACGGTTTGACATGTGAGTCAGATTATCTTCAAAACTGGAGGATTTTTGTTGTTGTTGTTGTTTTGTTTTGGTGTTTCTGGCCAGTATGTATCAAAAATGTGTCCAAAAGAAACTGGGGGACACAGAAATGGGCAGCCAAGACTCATGGAGAACAAATCAAATGCTATTTATTGTTTTTAGCCTGTTCCTACAAATGATCTCCTGTAGCTGTAGTTCCAGAGTTCATCATGCGTGATAACAGAGGCAGTTTTGGTCTTGTTTACTTTGGTTTCTGCTTATTTGCATGAAAAACAATCACATGAAGCCCCCGTTGTTACTATTTAGTATGTTTATCGTAGATCAACAGAGGCAACAGTGTACATACAGAGTAAGAGTGTGTAGCTGCCCAGCAACACGGTTCACGCCGGATTAAACCCCCATGCCTTCAGGTAATATAGACTTGAAGCAGTGATGAGAAGGAGTTGAGTGTGATTTACTTCTTTTTGTCTAAGCATTTGGAGAGGAAGACATACAGACACGCCATGCTGCAGTTTATGGAGGTTTGTGCGCACAAGTCTTCTTTTTTTTTTTTTGGAGATGCTTGTGAATCTCATTGATTAAAGTTAGATTATTATAACATTCAGCAGCCTCTCAGTAAAACAAAAAAAATATGTTTTTATGGAGTGCTGAGATGAGGGGAGGAAATCTACATTACCCTCAACATTTATTGGAACTCACAGTAAAGATGTGCTACAAAGTCTTAAAGGGGCGGGAGTATTATGTATTTTCCAGGCACACGGTGCCATTTTATTGCATAATCAAGTAGCTGTGTTGTTAGAAAAAAGCTGCACATATCAAAAATGACGCAGGCATTTCTGACGCCATTAAATTGGCCTTTGTCTCTTTAAGAGTCTCCCAATGTTTCCAATACTCCCTCTTTAATAATTCATTACAGCAATCCTTCTCCAAGAGTTGAGTGACCTCCGCATGGTTCCCATGTGAGACTCAAGGATTCCTCAAACCTGCATGAAAACGTCAAAGCCACACTCCAGGTACGTTTTTGACAAAAAGAAATAACAGTACAACTTGATGTAAAGCACAAACAAAGTAAATTTTGTATGATCCTTTTAAAATAAATGGAGACACATTGACCACTAGATGTGGCCACTGCTAGAGTTTTCTCTCAACAAGTTTGTGGTTTTCCCTCTTTTTTTGTCAACCTTTCCAGCCACCTCTTGTGTTTGGTGAATTTTCATCTAGCTTCGTTTTTTTTTTCTCTTTGCTTCATCATCATAAATCATGAATTTATTGTACATATTCTATGTAAAATAGGTGTAAGTGATAACTATCTTCTTATTTACGTTTCCTGATTTTTGAAGATCAGCACACATCAGCCTTATTTCAGTGACATGCATCATTTTTGGAGTGGCTAAAAGAAACAGGCCATTATCTTTTATTTGTGATATTTATGTATTCACTTATATTTATTTTATGGGAATTGAGACATCGCTGAATGAAATATGTTATTTAGATGGGATTGTATCGCCTGTGAGTAAGTGAATGTACTTAGGCCAAAGGTTATTTATTTCTAAAATTGCTAGATTTACTCCAGAAAGTGTATTTGGGCTGCAGTTCATCTTATGGACTTATTTACATTACTTTCACTTAATTCTTTTGCTTTTGCTATGACAACTTACTTTTTTGTGTTCATTTAACTCAAAACGTACAAATCTTTAACCTAAAGGAACTTTTCACTTTGACTTTACTTAAAACAATTAAGTTCAATGCCAGTTTCATATCCTATGTCTGACCAACTCAATTTATTATGATCATCCAACTCAATTCACCAAGTCCTTCCATCTCAATTTGCTAAGTTTCTATAACTTAATTCATAAGGGGGTTTAACATGACAAATTTAAGTCACTCTTACTCAAATCATTTATTTTCTTCTAATAAACATTTAAAATATCTTTGACTTAATTCTACAGAAAGTCAACTCAAACTTTTAAGTAGTTCCAAACTAAATTTTAATACTCTTTTTACAGTGTCCTCTACATACACAAATCTTTTCCTTAAATGACCTTTTTACTTTGACTTTACTTGAAATAATTAAGTTCAATACCATATTTGTATCCCTCGTCTGACAAACAAATGACTCAAGCTAACCAGGGACAGAATCCCTGGTAAGTGACCGTGGCTCTGTGGGTAGAGTCGTCATCTTGTGATTGTAAGGCTGTAGGTTCGATTCCAGCTTCCTCCTGCCACATGTCAATGAGCCCCTGGGCAATTAACCCCAAGTTGCCTCCCAATCTGGGCATTAAGTGAATGTGACTCTAGTGTAAAGTGCTTTCAGTGGTCAAAATGACAGGAAAAGTGCTATATAAGTGTATTTAC